CAATGTCTCAAGTAAAAGATGAGAAGATCGTTACTCGTAGAATTTCCGGTTGCGTAGAGCTTGCGAATTGAGAAAAAGACAAGGAAAAGAAAAAGCACAGCGTTTCAGAGACGGTCCGTTACCAGTTGTTTAAATGAACGAACTTGCTAGTGACTGAGTAACGATGGAGACATCAGTCGAAACCGGTTGAAGAGTTTAAGCTCTGGGATCTCCTAAAACGAATTGAGAAAGAGATATCGGTTCATGTCCGGATATCGTGTTGGTAGACAAAGCTAAAATGCAAGCATAAGTAACTGATATTAGATGCCCCCAGAGCAGTGAAAAGGGACAAGAAGTGAGACGTAAATTCAATTGATAAGGCGATCAAGGTAGAAGGCGATGCTGCTAGGAACAGCCAGGATTTTAAGAAGAGTACTGCAGCTCCCTGACCCTTGGTAGACAAATCGAGATTAACTGATTTTTGTGCCATCATGATATATTCTATGGAAAGTGTTTGAAATAAATAAATGAAAAAAAAAAGAATATAAAATTTTAATACAAAGTAAAATGATAAAATACAGTACTTTATTAATTTGCCAGCATTTGAGCCAATCCACTTGCATTATTTGTTCTTTTCATGCTTATATATTTTCCTTTTTATTCGTTACGGCTGCAAAATCAAAAATTCAGCAGCAGTTTGGAACGATTACTGCTAACTGTATGGCCAATGCTATTTTATGTGAATTTCTTTAGAAACTTCACCGATAAGTGTGGTTAAAAAGTCGAAATATTCGGATAGTGTAGCGGTGGACGCTGAAGTTGTCAAGAAACAACGCGTGTTCGAACTTCTAAAGGCCGAACTGACCATTACACCTGGAGGCATGTCTCCGATGGATACGTTCAATCACGCATGCAACAGAACGAAATATACGTGGAACATGGAGTGGAACGGCTCTTACTGTAAATTGTTGGTAAGTTGCTATGACATCTTGTAATGAGTGGACTAAGGTCACTTTCATACGTGATGGGCAAACTCGGACCAAAGTAGGTCGAGTTTGTTAGTTTGTACATTTTGGAATCTGATACTAAGCAGATATGCACATACATCACCCATTGAATATGGGTTCAAGTTTCGTGAT